TATATCACATATAAATCTATAAAATGTATATTTAACGTATCATCATCCATCATCATCAGCATCATCATCCATCATTATCATCATTATCATCATCATTATTATCATCTTTTTGCCGAGCAGCGTGGTTTCTTTACCTTTTTCCGCACCTGTATACGGTCGCCATATACGAGCACCACTCTGTCCCTGCCCTCGTTCGAGGTTAGTTGATAGGACAAGCTCTATAATTTTCGACCGATCGATTCGATCGTTAATGTGGCGTCGATCGCGGTTATTTCACCGCCGTAAATATTATGTGTTATTGTGTTTTCATGTTTGTCCAAGTGTTCGGTCGTGAACCAATCGTCATCACCGACGGTGAGTTTTGTCCAGCAAGTTTCCACGGAGCCGACACGACGATGAAGCAGAGGCGAAGGATGATGAGGTGGCCGGCAACCAAACAGCAGGCCCGCGACGGGTTCCGATCGGGCCGCGCCATTGAACGTCGTCGTGTTGCCAATCATCATCGTCACAGGAGTTGAAGAGATGGCACGGAAATGATGAAATAGAAGAATTGGATTGATTGATTTTGTAGATTTCGCGCGGTTGTGTGTGTCTTTGCTTTGTGTTATTTTTTTTTTTTTATTGTGAGTTTTTATTTTGGTAATGGTGATTTTTTTTTCTTAGATCGCGAACGGCCGGCGAGTCAATAATACACGTATTACTGTTCTGCTCTACGTGTGAATATATATCTCCTTACTCTCTCTCTCTCTCTCTCGCTCTCGCTCTTTTTTATTCAGTCATTCGCTCAATTACTCGTATACACATCTGTTGGTTTCTTTCTTTCTATTATTATTCTCTTTGTCAAATACGTGTGTTTTATACATAACATACACATATACATTTTTTTATCTTCGCTCTGGCTTACTCTAGCGCTTACTCCGCTTTACGTCGACGTGAGCGTGTCTCAGCTCCTGTGTCTTCGCAAAGCTATGAATTGTTTTTTTTCTAGTCGTTTATACTTATTTTTTGTTTCTATTGACACGTTTGATGCATCTCTCTGATTTCTACACATCAACCGGTTTTCTTTTTTTCGAATCGTCATGCAACACTTTATGCATACTCGTCGTGTATGCTTGCTTTACTATCTCCGTGCCTTTTTTAGATTCGTTCTCAGCTCGATTCGATTTGGCTTTTTGTTTGTTTGTTTTGTGTTTAGAGTGTGTTGTTTTAACAGCGCGCGAGGGGATTTTTTTCAGAATGAGGCCTCGACGAGGTAAGTGCCGTCCATGGCGACCCCCGTCTGCCCGCCTTGGGCACCGGACGTTTGGGCCCTTGTAGCCGGGATGTACTGACTGTACGGCTGCTGAAAAATCCACAACCACAAACACACACTACATTGTTGCACGCTACGTACGCCTAAGCTAATGCTGTTTCTACACGGGTCTTCCTCTAAAACCTCTATCTACTGCCGCGATCTATTCGCGATTTTCTATGTGCGTGTGTGGATGGGTGTGGAAAATTGAAGCATTAAACAGAGACGTTTTCTTCTTTTTACTACCGTATGTCATATGTTTTTTTCTACCTGTTCCTGCCTACAAAGCTATGTACTACCCGCTACTTTGCTGCACTGTAAATCTTTCATACGAACAATTTTTATCTGACCTTTGATCGAAAAAGCCGTTTCTTATTTTTTTGAAATGATTCCTCGCTTTCAATCAATTTTTATGATACGAGACGTGTTTCCAAGATTATTTATTGTTCTAGTCACTTCTCAAGTATCATACACTTTCTGTGTGTCTTTTAAACAGCAGCAAATACCGCAGATGTTTCATCGAAAGAAAGCTTGTTTACAATGAGAGAATTTTTCTTCTTGTAATTTTACATTTAAGATTTGTTTATTAGAAAAGTTTTTTTACTTTTGTACTTCTTGTTTCAGTCGAGTATGTGGAGAATATGGGTTTATAAGATGTATGATTCTCTACATTCATCGCAGTTTTATCGCGTTCTACTGAATTATTACGTCACTGGTAAATTTATTTGCTTGGAAAAAGTAACACTTTTTTGGCTTCATATAACACAAAACATTTTTTTTTAGTCTATCAACAATATATACGATGTATTTCGACTGCGTATAAAATTCTACTTCCATCGAGAGATAAACGCCATCTAATCTGTTGCACCAACGCGACAAGCTTTTCCGGCGTTTCAACTGATCCAATAGTTGGGGAAAGTGCGAATTGACGTAGTGACGTGCATGCTGCAAAAACGAATTAACTCGCGAACGCGTCACATGTGTGCGACCCATTCTGACAAATAATTCAATAATTCGAATTGTATGCGCGATTTTGCGGATTGAGAGCGAAATCGTGCGTCTTCCGCCGGTCGACAAAGCGGAAAACTAATGAGCGACATGAACAATGAGATTTTCGGTGCAATCATCTTCCATCGAATTGCTGCCGCAGTAACAAATGTCTCGAGAAAAACGAGACTATTATACGTAGTCACATACAGCACTTTTCGGTTAAATTTGGTTAATTAAACAACTCTTCATTTTTCTTCGAATAGCTTTTCCCCGAATGACTCTTTGTTCCCGTTATTCCAATTATTACAAAAAAAATTAGTCATAAGAGTTGATATTTGTATGGCTTTGTTTTGTAACAATTCCTAAAAGAGTTATTTGATCTTGTTTTCAGAGTCATTTGCAGATCGAATGTGTCATTCGTATCGAGTAGACGAGAGAATTTACAACCTTTGCCAGAAAAGAACAATGTGATATATATTCTCTAAATGACACGCTCCAGTTTGACTTTTCGCATTTTTCCGGGAAGTGCTGCATTTTTCCTAGATACTCTATCGACTGAATTTTATAGCACACTTTGTAGTAATAAAACAAAGATTAAATGTATCTATATATACACTATGTATATATATACAGGGTGTCCCAAAAATTTTGACCAAGCCGAAGTATGAAGGTAGATTGCGTCAGTTAGAACACAAAAGTTACATATCATTTTGCAAAATTCGCAATAGTTATTGAGTAATTGATAAATGTGACCCAATGAGCGCGCGGGAAGAGATAATCCAAACTCTATAGACGGTTATCAGCTGTAATGAAAGATGACTTACTTCATTCAATGTCCTAGCAACGAGAGACAGGGTAAACAATCAAGCGAGATAGCTTCTCGCGATCAGCTGATATTCGGCGGTACGGAAAAAGCAGCTGAAAAGGATACTTTCCGCGAGGAAATAAGAAAATAATAGCGCTTTCATTTCTTTCTGTTACGAAAAAAATATTACTGTTAATTAGACGAGTAGATATCTGCCTTATTTTTCTGTATTGCACGCTTTTTTGTATTGTTTGCCGCTGTTCGCTGCGTTACACCGCCGTAAGAATCACATGATCGCGAGCAAACACCCTTCTTATCTCTTTGCTACTTTTTTTGTATCGCTTAATAGCTGATTGCAAGAAGCTGTTACACGCCACACGTCACACGTCGCGCTTGCTTATTTACTCCGTCTTTCGTTGCTAGGATATTGCATGAAGTAAGCCATCTTTCTTTACAGCTGATAAGCGTATACGCCTACAGAGTCCGGATTATCTCTTCCCGCGCGATCATTGGATCACATTTATTAATTAACTACTTAATAACTATTTTGCGAATTTTGCAAAATGATATATAACTTTTTTGTTCAGATTGACGTAATCTACCTTCACACTTCGACTTAGTCAACAATTTTGGGACACCCTGTATATATACATATATGTATATGTATATGTATAATCATCTACGCGCGCGCATAAATTACATATTGTTCATTTATATAAGTTCTGAAGATAAGTGAGCGTTTCGAACATTATTCCCTGAGCTGCCAAAGACGAAAGTACAAAACATTAAGTAATCTTTAACAAAAACATAAAACAAAATTAGAAATAAATTATTTGTATACACGTAATTCTTATCTTACAGGAAGTAATACCTTCTATGTTTACAATTGTCGATATGTTTACAATTTACAAAAATTACAACATATAAGATATTAAATTTACACACACACATATATGTATGTATGTATGAATTATGTATGTATCATGTATGTATATATGTACATAATTATGCATATATAAATTGGTCCTTTGTGTCTCATATAAACGTGGCTTGAATGAAATCTCGCTTTCTGTCGTGTAAAATAATTTAAGAAAGTTTCCCATAGTACATCACATTTAAAAAATAGCTATTCGCAGTCAAGAAATAGTCTGTACACAATGCGCTTTTTTCACAACGTCACAATAACGTAGCTTTAAAAATCAAATCCAACGTAAAAAAAAAAAAAAAAAACATAAGTTAGAGAAAAAAGTTCACGCCTATAGAAAAAAAACACGGTGGAAACAAACAATTACACTGATAAAAAAGCTAGTCAAAACATTGACTGCAAAAAAAAGACGATATACCTTTATTCCGCTTGAATTTAGTCTTCAAAAAAACAGACAGTTTTTGTGTCTTGTGTGGTTTGAACGTTATTTCTTTTTTGATCCGTTTTTCATGCCAATTGCATCGGTAAAAATTCTCGTGATGTTATTCCTCTTTTTGCGATAATCAAGAGATTGTAGCGCGATATTATTCCGACGACGTTTACAGCCGATTGTAATGCCGGTATCTGTTGAACGTCAATTAATCAATGCAAGTTGACAGCGAAATCGTAACTCGGGCGTAAACGCGGCGAGGAATCTTTGCGTGTTCTTAAGAAAACTTAGAAAAGCGCAGTTTCACGATATTCAATTAATTACTTGGCCGGCTGTAACCGACGCGGCTCGCGATAGGATAACGAGTATATGCTTAGTATATAAACGTAACTAACTTTATCGACTGCGTATACATTAATATATACATATTTATTATCGTCTAACCTGCTCATTTACAGACAATTCTGTAATTAATAATACAGACGACATATACCGCCGTACAGATGCAGGAGTTCGTACGCAACTGTACAAAGAACTGTACAGCTTGTTGTGAAGGATGTTGGCAAAAATGTTGCACAAGATGTTTTGAAGAAGATATTGATGAAGTCCGTTTAGCCGTGTCTTCATTCTGGTATACATATATATGATTCTTAAGCAATTATTTCGTTGCAAAGTGTTCGTGTCAAAACTCGAGAGGTTACGTTCTTTAGATCTCACACTCTTTCTTGTTTTTCTTTCCTATACTTTTTTATGCGCTAAACGATGTGTCTCCGACTAGTTTAAATTCGTCATAGCGCTTTGAGCGCTTTTTTGAAAAAAAAAAAAAAATAACAACACAAAGAGAAACAAAAAATAAATGCAACTTTTTTCTTTAAAAGACATTTTCTCGAGCGCGGAGAACGCCTGCATAATAAGACATGTCTATTTAAAGCGAACGTCCTACACAGATGACGTATACTTATAACTGAATGTATACACCGTGCAATTCTTCTAGCGTCTATAACTAGTATCACTTTTAGCAAGTAATCGGAGATAGTAAATATTTGTTCAAAAATTAGTAATTAAGAGAAGCAATTAAAATTTTTAATCACAGTTCTTAATTGATTTTTCAGGAGAAAGTAAACCTGTTGAGAGAAAAAAAATATAAATGTTTTTTGAACAAGACAGAAAACTTTTTAATAAATGTCTTATCAGGACATTAATATTCATAAATATTTTTAAAGAATAATAGTATTTTAATCTTTAACAATTTACAAATGTTTATGTAATATTGTTTATTTTTTAATTTTTTGTCACACTTATACAAAGTTATCAACAATTTTGTATATCACACTGAATCATTTAACAAATAAATTAGAACAAAGTCGAATAGATATTGTTGCGAAAAACCAGTTTATTATCTTGCAATCGCACGAGACACACATACATCGGTCACACACATACATACATCCGTGACAATACTATAACACCATATAAATTCTTGATATAAGAAAGACTTTTGTTTATCTGCATGTAGTGTGTTTATTGTTTACTTCAGGAGAAATCTTCTGACGCACCTTTGTTACTTATATTTCTAAGAATTCGAAAATTGCATGAAAAAACCTTTTATTAACCGCGACAAAACTATAAAACATTAATGTTTTAAATTTATTTATATAGTCTATTAATAATGTGCCACCTTTGTTTTTTATAACTTCTAACATTCTTCGCGGAAGAGATTTGTACAGTTTTTTAATAGTTTTTTGTTTTATATTCTTCCATTTTTCTCTTCAACACACATTTTTTAACTCTTGTACACTATCAAACTGCTTTCTTTTTGAGTAAACCTCTTTGGCTAGTATCCCCCAACACAGTTTTCTATGTTTTGATGTTTAAATTGGGATATCTCCAATGAGAATGTA